GCTGTGGCATACTTGACCTTCCCAAACCCCTGCACCTGACTCTGCCTTCCAAGATGACAGATAACATATTATATGTGCCCACTGTTAAGAAATGTGAATTTTACCTAGTTTGCAGGAGGAAGCCTAGAACTTGGAGTCAAACAAACTCAAATAATGATACTGGCTTTGCTAAACTAATATGGAAATTTTGAGCAAGGTACTAGACATTTCTGAGGCTCAGTTTTTCATCTCTAATGTATCTAATGATCCCTACCTTGTTGGAAGGAGGATTGAATGGATACAATTCATGTAAAGCACGTAGCATGTTGCCTAGCACATGATGTGGGCTCAACAAATGTAGTTGCCTTCATTTTCCCAGCTGGGTCATATTGATGCTTATTAATAATCAAACAACAACCCATTACATCCTCAAAATTCTACCTTATCTTCAAGGCAATGACTGTGATGGTGAGAGAAAATGGTCAGGGCAGTTAGCACAGTATTAAACAGATATGGAACACTTAAAATAGATGACCACCACCACCACCATCATCATCATCATCATCTAAATTGTTGGACTTTATAAACATTGTCTAAATTAATTCAGTATCAATTTACTTCCCAAGATGCATTGCTCCTTGAATATTCTGACAGGTGGTCTAACTGATTTTTTTTTTTAACAAAACCTATAATTTAATAAACCTCCACAAATTAGGGAAGGACTTGACTCAAGTTGCACACCTTCTTTTTAAGAATGTGTGAATTCCGTGGGGGTGAGGTGCAAAAGCTGGTGTTTGAAAAATAAATTAAAAATAGGTCTTTAAGAAATAAAAATCTGTGTCTTTTGGCATTGCTAAAATGTGGAAAATGCATCTGCAGTATTTGGAACCAGTGGCCAGATTGAAAGCTACACTACCTGAATGCAGGCTGACTTTAGTTTCCCTGAAAGCCACCCACACCTTCAAACACTGTTTTCTAAATGCACGTGCTCACGGTTTTGTTAGCCCAAATATTAGGCATAATAAAAAAAATTATAGAGAAACTAGTCAAATGCAGGATCTTAGAATTGTAGGATTTTAGAACTCGAAAATATCTTGGAGATAGTCTAGCGCAAACTCCAAATTTTGCAGATGAAAATACTTAAGGTCCAGAGAGGTCTTAAAATCACCTACTAACTTCTCCTTTGGTGGCAAAGGAGAGTCTCATTACATCTTTTGGTGTTAACATAGGACCTTCTGAATGAGCAGCTTTGTGCACAATAGCAAGAGGAAAATGGCAGAAGGTTGTCTTTGTGGGCTTTATCACTTGATGAGTAAAGAGAAGCAATATGTCCTTGGGGAATCAAGTGTTCTTTCACTAACTCTTTCAGAGGTAAGTAAATTACCTTTGCAAGGTGCTATCTAAGGACTGACAATGACCTTTTCCCTCTAACCCGCACCCAGAAAGCTGAAAATATAGCAAATCAAATCAAAACAAAACCCGAGTTTCACACGTACACCATATGCAGAATACAGGCATTGGAATTTGTTTACAAGGAGGTCTTTCTAGTACTTCTGAGGCAAACTCTGTTCATCCTGGCGAGGTTCAGATATATTTGCAAATTGTTTGCAAGTAATTTGCATAATCCTAGAGAGAAGAAAAAATTGATTCTACCTATAAGGTCTTCATTTCAATTTATTAAATTTTTTCATCCCACCATCCCCCCCACCCTCAACTTCTCTTCCTCTGTTCAGTGATGTGTTCTACTATTCCAGAGAAGTAAGCCAGAGGCAAGTGAAAAGTTCTGAATTAGAGCAGATGCCTGAGGACAGTTTTTCAAAATGAATTCCAAGGGCTGTCAATAAGCGCTATCTGAAAAAAAATTAAGTGCTTGCACAACATTGCATTAGTTCAATTTAAATAGGATTCTTCAACAAAATGCTTGTTAGTGCCTTTTATATGCTAAAGATTGTGAATATTTTGAGAGAGTTGTGTAGATATACAATTTTCAGCACTTTCTTATTTGATCTTTTTCCCACAAATCCTGCTTTACTAATCCTGTACTATAGCATATGTAACTAAAAGTAGTTCAACTTCTAGCTTGCAAAGACCCTAGCTGCATGAAATGCCATAAGAGACAAAAATGAAAGTCATCTCCTCCTTGAGTAGATATTTCTTCTTGACTACCCAAAGGCTATTCCTTACACAGGTAAAATCAGGGTATGGTTCTTGGCCACATGCAAAAAGCAGACATATTATATGGAAAAGTATTTTCCTAAATATAGAATTAGGCAACAGAAGGTAAAGCTGGAAGGGCTATGGGAAGACTCCTTTCATGCCCAATGTGTAAAATTTTAGAAATGAAGCTTCCTTCATTAAAGATGTAGTGAGAATAAAGAATATTGGAGTTAGCTGAGTCTCAGACCCCTCCTGCCTCTTCCCCACCTCTAATAGGTCCTCAGGAATTCCTCAAAATCTGGGGCCTCAGTGGGGTATGGTTGAGAACAACACATTCTTATGTATATATACTATAATTCCCTCATTTTTAAGTGTGTAAGAGAGGTGGTAAGTGGTTATTTACCAAAACAATGAACTTTTGTAGAAGGTGGTGCTATTAAATGGAAAGCCTTCTTGGTTTGATGAGTACTCTGATGGGACTTGCTGAGCCTTAGGGCTAGAAGAGAGGTGAATAATTTGGCACAGTAATCTAAAGTGTGAAATCTCCAAGACAGTGTGGGGGTAGGGGAAGAAAAGAGATGAGAAAAAGACAAGGAGAAGGAGGTGGAAGAGAAGTTTCAGCCACAAGACTTGAGGATGGGGTTAAAGTGATATAGATGTCATCGGGGTAAGATATCCCAGGCCAGAATATTTGTACTTACAGACAATTCTAAAATTCAACTTTGAATTATCTGTATTATTATAATTATAAAACCTACCCTGTTGCCTCAAACCCTCAATAAAGTCTAAAAACCATTATGGAAACTGAGGAAGAAGCAAGCAAGTTTCATGTCTCTGGTTCTACAGGGACATGGACAAGCCACATGGGACAATCAAATCCATCACTTTATGGAAAATGAAGTAATCCAGGGGTAGCAAGGGCTCATACCATAAGAATGTAAGAAAGCTAGACATGAGCAGAAATCCTAGGGAAGGTCTTATACTTGCACGGGGTGTACAATGAAGAGCTAGGGATTGCATTTAAATTTCGAAGAACAGGGAGATCTCAGCTAATATCTGAATAACAGATGGAAGTTATGATTCTGTATGGAGGAACTCTTCGACTCCAAAGGCTTGTGGCTTTCACTGCCAAAAAATGCCAATAACTGCCACTTGAGTTGGCTTATATTCATAATGATCAATTGGCCACGTCTACTGGATGCATAACCCTGACTGAAGCCTCCCCACCTCCTCCCTAAATCCCTGTGTCTTTGTTTCTTGATTCTGTAAATGTCTGCATCACTCGTTTTACTTCTCAAGAAGAAACTTTATCCCTAACTCTTTTCTCCCATCATACCTCATAGCCAAATTGTCATCAAATAATCCTATTTTTTACTGTGGCATACCATCCCTTTCTGTGTTTTCTCCCTTCCTCAGTTCAGCTTGCATTACCATGCTGAAACAGTTCCAAGCACCTCTTCACTGCCCATGCTCTCCAATCCTCTGCCTCCATGCTACACCAATTATCTATCCAAAATGCAGATATGGTCAAGTCACTATGACCCTAAATGCCATTTTCAAGCTCCCCATTGTTCACAGGATGAAATCTTTTCTTTAACCTGGCTAAAGGGTTTCTTGCAAATGTGTTCCTGCTCCACTGCAAGCATCATCTGCCATTTCCTACTCTATAGGCCATGGTCTGAGGCCATTCATATCATTTCATCTCTTAATCTTTTCCCCTCATCTCCTTGTCTTTCCCTACAAAGACCTTGAGCAAAGCATGCATGCTCTATCTCCTTATCATAATTCAAAATATCAATTAAAGTTAAAGATAAAAGTCTGATAAGAATTAGATTTTATCTTCAGACAATATTTGCATTGTTTAGTACTTTAACTCAAAAGAATAAATAATATGTACAATTCTGCATGTTGTATCACAATCATGGGAAAGAGCTAGAGATCTTTGGTGATTGCTCAAGTTACATACTTCAGAAGTAATCACCACTCCAACATATATGGGTGGGCTTGACAGATGGAATATCCACACTCTGGAGGGTGATCCTTGCTTATGGTATAGTGTAAGGAATAGAATATAGAGTGAGAAGAATGGAATTTGGGTCTTCGTTTCCTCATTCATTGTCCAACTGGCCTTAAACAAAACAATTTCACTTCTCTGAACCTCAATTTTTATCTGTCAGACAACTTCCCAGGGTTGTTGCGCGGATCAGATGGAATTAGGTATCTAAAAAGAGACTGTGAGCAGGAGAGAAAAGGCTTTGCAATCTATAAAGTGCTACGTAAATGTGAAAAGGAGCACTATGAAAAGAAAACTGGACATGGAGTCAAAATGCATGGTGCTACATGTTGATCTGTGTCCTAGAAAAAAATATGTTGAAGTCTTAATCCCCTGTACCCATAACTGTGGCCCATTTGGAAGTAGGGTGTTTGCAGACATAAGTAAGAGGATATCATTAGGGTGGGCCCTAACACAATATGACTGGTCTTATAAGAAGAGAAAACAAAGACACATGGGGAGAACACCATGTGAAGATAGAGGCAGAGACTGGAATGATGAATCTACAAGCCAAGGAACACCAAGGATTGTCAGCCATCACTAGAGTTAGGGGGGAAGCATGGAAAAGATTCTCCCTCAAAGCCATCAGAAGGAGTTGACATTGCTGACACCTTGATTTCAGACTTCTAGCCTCTGGAACTGGGAGACAGCAAGTTTCTTCTGTTTTAAGACACCCATTTTGTGGTATGTTGTGTGGCAGCCCTAGGAAACTAATAAACATGAGTATAAATTTTATCTCTGTCAGTTACTGACTCTATGAATGTGTGTTAAATTCCTTAAGCTTTTTCTCTGATACCTTAAGGACACTTACCTTTCTGTGATAGTTTCTCTGAGGCCACTGGCCACTCCTTTGACCACAGTGCTAGCTTTGGGGGTCAGCACCACCTGAGATATAAAAAACGAGCCCTTCTTTCTTCTCTCAGTGATGGACGCCTGAAGAAACTGGATCAGTTTTTCCGGGTCTGTGGTGTTGGCCCAGGGTGCTGGCATCATCTGCCCAGGCCAGAGAAAGGGCACTTCCAGAGCCACTGGACTGTGGTAGAAGACCAGCACTTGATAGTCTTTCTCCCACAGGTACTTTAGACTAACTTCCTGGGCAAAAATCGCTGGGCACATCTTGTTTCCATAGATGTCTTTCAGCATTTGGACCAGTTTTTCATGGTGATATTTCTGCATCCCATAAAAATGGTTGAAGTCCAAGAATACAACCTCCTTATGGTGATCTGTGAGGAATGCATTAATCTCTTCAAGGCCTTCATTGACTTTGGCACTGAACAAACCATGAGCAAAGTAAAGTTCATTGTCGGGGTCTCTGGGCTTGGTGGAAATTCGAAGATCAAAATAACGGATCCCAGCTCCTAGCTGACCAGTAAAGTTCATTGTTTGAGTGGCTAACCATTTCCGCATCAGCTTTTTGGCTACAGTTCCAAACACAGAGACAAAATTCTGGACGGTTTCTGGCTGTTCAGGCCCTACTGGTGAGGCTTCATCAATGTAGAAGCTGAAGGAATCATGAGATCCTAGAAAAATAACAAGGCATAATGTGGTTATAGTTCAGTCCTTTGTTCTTCCCAACTTCTTTCCCTCTTGCAAAGTCCGTATCTCTCCCTCAAATGCATGGAAGGAAATAATAAGCAATATTTACTTAGTTCAGTCTCAGGTCTTAGGAGGGTCCTTTTTATAGCCTATATGGTATACATGGCACTTCAACAGATCAAACTGATTATAAAATTATGTAAAAATCCCTTCTGACCAATATTATAAATAAAAATGATCACCTTCTACTTCTGTAAACAAAGAATTTAATGTATTCATTAGGATTGGCTCTCCATGTAGGTGGCATAAGTGACCATTCATAAAGTGGAATTTATGGGGATTCACTGGTTCCCAAATACTCTGTCTACTATCTTGCCCTTTCCCTTCATTTTGAGTTGATTTCAATGGTAGAGAGCTTGTTTCATTGAGTAAAGGAGGTTTTTTTGATGGGCAGATGATCAGCATATGGATTGGTACCTTATACACTTTGGAAAGCACAAGAGGTCCTTACAGAGAAAGGGAGAAATAAGCAAGAGGACAGTACAATGTTGATATATTTCACATCACTCCTGACCCTGCATTTGAGCAACTATGAACTTAGATGAGGCCAAGTACTGTTTACATATTGAGGAAACAATTTTTCTTACAAGTTGACAAAACTAACAGCATTAAAAAATTAAATGACAGACTATTTTCTTCACAAATATTTCCTCTCAACAGTGAAAGCTCTCTTTGGAGTTGGCTTCCAAATTTGGAAGAATTTCTCCCTAGGAAGAACAAAGGCAACCGCTTTAATTATGATTGTGATTATGATTTTTTTTTTGTCTGTTACAAAGACCAGAACTCCAGAAATGTAGCAATGAACATGTGCATGATTTGCTGGTAAGTATAGAGGGCCATTTAAAATATTTTTGGACCTAATGAAGAAAAATTATTTCAAGTTTTAATTTTATTTTTTAAAGCCTCCTTTAATTCTTGGGCAAAACCTACTGAACAGGTAAAATGAAATTAATGTATCCTGAATTTTCACATGTTAGAAAGGGCAGATGTCATCATTCCCCATCTGTTACTCAGGCTTCCTCAGACTGTGTTGCCTTACTCCTGATTTAGTTGTCTAGAAACTAAAAAATACACACCTTGTTCTAGATCCTACATTCCACCCAACGCCCCCCGCAACACACTCCCCTTTACATTTATCATCCATCACCTCAGGGCCTTTGCCTGATAAGCTATTTGAAGCAATTTTTTTTTCAGTGAATGCAGTATTTATCTTTGTCTGTATTCCATATCTACATCAATCTATATCTCTCTATGTACATCTCTCTATGTTGAGCATTAAACAGCCAAGAGGAATCACAAGAGTATGAACTGCAGACACCTCTGTAAGTTGTTAGAGAAAATATTTTGAAAAATACTTTAATACCTTAAAAATGATAACCTTTAAGATTTGGAACAGCTAACTCCTCAGAATTATTAGACTTTTTTAAACAATGAAAAGTAACCCCAAAATACAGAAATGCCACGTTTAATTTAATCTGGAACTGTCTGATCTATTTATCTTTAGTACATGGTATGGGGAGAAAATGTCAGCACTTTCTGAATAAGCAGAACTGGCAGTTTGGATCTGGCATTGGCAAATTTTAACAGGGATTTAAATTGCTGCATATTGATTTATTAGTAGCTATTCAGCCAATTGCTAATATAAATGAAAAAGCTAAACAAACTGTACTGTGGATCAATATACAGAGAAAATATGTTTAAAGAAAGAAATAAAAAGGTGAGTTTAAGAAGGGCTATAATCAAATGTTCTAGAGTTAAAATAGGTGCAAATGAATAAATAAACCTTCAAGATAAGGGTTAATTTATAAAATTTTTAAAATTTTAAGTTAATTTCCAAGCATGTGAAAAAAAAAGGTGGATGAAAATAATTGGTTACCTCTACAATCTAGTAGAAGACATAATTGGAAGGAAGCAGAAAGGGAATTAAATATGACTAGATTTCTTTTTCTAGAAATGACTGGTTCTCTGCTTTCATTATGACTTTAGTTTCACTATTCTGCCATGTGGCTATCTGGCAAATTAAAAAAAAAAGCCTAGGAAATTTACCAATTTTGAAAATCCTATAAAAGAACATTAGTCTCTAGATTAAATTATTTGTTGACATTTCAGGAAAATATAAGATCAAAATAAGGTAATGTTAAAATAAAAATTAAAAACAGCTGTCGGAAGAAACCATTGGTACCCCCACTAATATTCGTTCTAAGCTAGATGATTCTGAGGTACATGCACAGCATTTGGTGCAGAATGATGCACCAGATGCAAACATTACTTGGAGAGGAGAATTAAATTATCAATCAATACAAAACACTATCTTTGCATTTGGGGAGAAAAAACATAATCTAATGTTGGCCAAAAAAGGAGTTATCTCATGGTTTCTGATTTCATTTGGAATAATACTTCCTTCTCAACTTCAACATTTTCACTAAACCATTAAGTTTTCTATTTGAATATAAAACAAAAATACAACAGTATTTTATGACCTTTCAGTAACAAAGGAAAAGTCGGGCTCCACCCTGGTTCTTTAAAATCAGAGAGCTCTGCCCACAAGAGTGGTAAGCATCATTTCTTTCTGCCTTATCTGGTCTAATATTTTGCTTCTACACTGGCTCAGTATTCCTGGGTTTCTCACCTCTTACTCTTCTCTTGTCTATAGCCCCAAACTCCTATCTTGGACTTGATACTTAATGTTGCTCCCCTGATTGTGAACTTAGCCTCTCAATTTTGGGTTTGGTTTGCCTTCTCTATTCAGAGAAGAGCTGGCCACTCCCAACCCTATGGAAGAGCGGGCAGCCTCGTGGAGCTTGAGGACCACAGCCCCACAACTCAAGGAACTAGATTCTGCCAACAAGCAGCAAGCTTACAAGAGGAGCCTCAGCCTCAGATGATGAGATTACAGCCTTGGCCAACACTTCAATTTCAGTCTGGTGCAGTCTGGCCTTCAGATTAAAGTAAACTGGGTAATGCAGTGCACTGAAAACAGCCCTGAAGTGGGTGTTGGGAGACGAGCCTCAAATTCAAGCCCGGTCACTAACTCACAATTTAACACTGGTGGATCATCAGATTGTTAATCATTCCGGCTTTGGGTTTTCTAATTTGCCAAATTAAAATACTCTCCATACCTACTTCACAGGATTCTTACGAAGAATAAATGAAACCATGTTCACAAAAGTTCCATAAAAGGAGTATAAACCTTAAATTACTGTTATATTCTTAGGGTTGTATACCTAGTCATGAAACATAGATTCACTGGTGACCAAGAAAACATTACCTAGATTAATATACATTGGGATGCCTGTGCAAGCTCACACGGGAGGGAGGACAAGAAGGGAAATGATTTAAATTGTAGGATTTAGGTTTGTAAATATTTCTTGAAAACAAGATTCTTATCTTGTTATTATCTACCATTTGTCTAAGATTTTAGCAGATATTGAACAATCAATTTACCCCGTTCCTTTTTGCTTTGAACAGCAACTAAATATTTACATTCTGCCATGTACTTATACTAAATACTAACCCTCTTGCATTCAGTATCTTCCCAGTATTATCTATAAAAGTTCTCTGGGATGAAATTCTGGTTGGTCTCTTGATTTGGCCATAGTTCCATTTCAAATTCTACAAAATTATGGGTTTAATAAACATCAAAGAGAATTTATCAAGTCAATTTCATCTGTGAACCTTCAGAACAAAAAGGCCTTCAGAACAGGAGGCTAGGGTTGGATGTACCCATGCATGTGCAATTCCAGTATCTCTACCCTGACCTTAGAATTCAGGCTCTGACTCCATCAGAATAACTGCTCCCCTCCTTGCTCTACAGAGCACTGAGCTTGCTTGCAAGTTTATCTATAGCATGCCATGCTTCCCTCTCCTGTCGTTTGGCACAGTTGCTGAGGTTTTCAAGACTCCTGCTGTCTGGTAGCAGGTTTCTTGCATATTTGATACTTTGATACCTTTTATGATAATATGGCCAACACCCCAGGAATGGGGAAGCATATGTACCCTCCACCTGTGAACCAAAAGAAAACTGCTGGGTGAGGAACTGAAAGGGTAGATGTAGTTTTTGAGGCCCTTTTCTATGGTGGAGATAGGCAGGTGGCACAATCTCCACTTTCCATGGGAAGAGATGCCGTTCTGGAGTGAAGTTTACCCTCTTGTCTTCCCTTTGTGAAATTCTCTTTTTTAAAGATTTTATTTATTTATTTGAGAGAGAGAGAGCATGCACGCATGTACGCTCGTGCAGGAGTGGGGGAGGGGTAAAGGGCGAGGGAGAAGCAGGCTCCCCGCCGAGTAGAGAGCCGGATGCGGGGCTCCATCCCAGGACCCTGGGGCCATGACCTGAGCCGGAGGCAGATGCTTAACCGACTGAGCCACCCAGGTGCTCCCACTTTATGAAATTCTTAATCCTGGTCTACTTCTATGACCCACATGTATTCCCTTCTCTGTGGAGAAGAATCGTTTCACTCATGGTGACTTTCCTTTCTCCTGAATGCATAGTCCTTTGGTCTGCAGCCCCCCTTCATCAGCTAGCAACTGTTATTAGATGTTGTTACTAACACTTATCATGTTTATTACATATTTTCTCTTTGTATCAGGCTCTCCACCTCCAAACCCTCCTCTTTACACACACATGTATGCACACTCTATAAGCAGATTGTAAGCTTCCTAAAAAGAAGAAAAAAAAAAACCCTATGCTTTATGATTCCGTGTCCACTACTGCACCCGGTTTTATGAATATAAAGCCCTATTTGAAGTCAATGGGTCAAAATCATTCCTACAGGATATGCTGTGAAGGTGAAATAACTACTTCTAATAATCATTTTTACATATTAGGCCATTTTTCTTTACCATTTCCCCTCAAATTTCTCAGGAGATTAGTCTACACAGCCTGGCTCTCTTTCCCCGACTTTGGTTCTGTCTCTCATCCACT